CATGAAAACATTCCAAGTGTGTGTTGGGTGGGAAGAGGGCAGCCTGCTTGGGTAGCCTAGGCATTAGGCACTGATCTTCTGCCCAATGACCTAAAGACTTCTACATCTTTACTATCCTAGCATGATATTACTAGGGGTTGTGTCAAAAATAAAAAAATAAAAAAAAAACAAAAAAAGTATGTGCGTATTCCCAATCCAATATCCATACCAGAGAACTTTTGGACGGAAGGAGTACCTTTCATGAAGTAGTTCTTTTGAATCCTTCCCCTTCACATTTTATTGGGAAAATGATATCTTAATCTCATAGACCTTACAAAACTTTTATTAAGCATCTGTTGTAAATGTTAATCTTGATGGCTATATGGCATGACTTATAGCACGTCTTGTAGCCAAATTATATGCTCAAGCATACATTGTGGATTTATCTGGCACTTTTTATATGGATTTATATGCTCAAGCATACATTGTGGATTTATATGGCATGACTTATAGCACGTCTTGTAGCCAAATTATATGCTCAAGCATACATTGTGGATTTATCCAGTGGTAGGTTATTATCTACTAGCTTAATCTTCTCGTTGGCAAAGGTCTATGATTGGGCATTGCGTTATCTTGATATCCAACTATCCCAAATGCTTAATATGGCACACCTTGAGGCTTTTTTCTAGAGTTGAAGCCCTTAGGCATGGGGGCGATGACTAGGTCTACAGGAAAACACATATGTCAGAGATGGTGAACACCATGGTGCGTGAGTCATAAGGTGATGTAAGGCTTAAACTTTTTTTGCTTCTAAAATTTTTAAAATTGCAGATAGGTACTTGGTCTCGGTGTTTATGTCTAGTTTTCCTTTTTTGGTCCACTTTCCGTTTCCGGTATGACTAAAACTTTTCAATTGTCTATTTTAACCCTAATTGAATTCTAGTATTCCTCCACATTTTGTTGTATTTAGGTGCCCTAGCGGCAATCAAATACCTATGTAACTGTACACTTTATCATGAATGAAAGGCTTTGAAGTATGTTTTATATCTCGTGTAACATAACATAGCTTCAGTCCATAGACGATAGCGCTTCAGTAACATAGATGAGGACTACGATGTTCTGATTATGAGACTGTTACTTCTTGACGGAGGCTATGTCTAAAATGTCCCTAGTCGCACTTTATGATAATACGGACGTCATAACGTATCAAGACTAGTACGTACGAGATGAGATAGTTGCGTCTCATAGACTATAGGTATTGTGATATCTTAATCTGTACGTAGGTGCATATTATATCGATAATATGTGACTGGATTGACCCATCTTGAGAATACTGCATGGATCTACAGTAATGTGTTTATCAGTATTCTCAAATCGACCTTGCTATAACTATCCTCAGACTTGAAGTTATTACATTCTCTGATATGTGGGGCCGTATGCTTTGATTCATAACTAATGCTATCTGAAATACTGGTAGACGTACAGTTATGCGTTGGGTATGCCGCTAAGCATATTTAGAGATGTGAATAACAGATACAAGATCTGTCCCTTCTACTGTATAGAAGTATAATGTCAATGGGCCCACTGAATAGTAGGACTTGGGAAAGTGCATGGCCATGCCCAGATATGTCGCTATCTAGAGACTGATAAATATCTGATCCCTGCCAGTCTACTTGAGATTCAGTAAAAGCTGATTTAACTATACAAGGATACACATCCCATGCCTTGTGTTAAATCATGACATTTAGGACAGAAGGATAATAGTTATAGAATGTCTTGTGTCGTAGAAGGTATTGATGAGATGAACGTCTTTTTCATAATCTAGGGATAATAATGTGTTGCTAGATACCGCTTATTATCTATGATATTAATTTTATTAATATAATTGCCAGTGTTATGGATACCTAAAGGGTCACACACTTAGGACTTGTAAGGGAGTAGTATACTACACTAGTGGGAGTAATATTAAATATATAGTTGTGATAATTTTATATATATATGCATTTCGAAAATACATATGTATTTTAAAATTACATTTTGTTTGTGACATATTATATATATATGTGGCGCCGAATGTGTGTATATATATATATATATATTATTTTATTTTTCATCATTTTAATTATATGATAATTATTGATGTCAAAAATAAAATATGATATATTTCAAATATGTGATGTACGAAATTTCAAGAAGAAAATCCAAGACCATTTTGATTTTATACACAAAGTATTTTTAATGTCAAATTAATATATTTGATTATTATTTGATGTAGGGATTCTATTTTGTTTTGTAGCTATGATATTAAACATTTACACATGGTGTTAAGACATATACATGGACTTATGCTTAACATTAATTTCCTAGAAATTTCCTAAATATACTTTATTATAAAATGAGGTCTTGATTTTGAAAAACATATCTCAAATTTTCGGCCATCCCAATTTTAGAGAGAAGAAAATCATATTTTGTGTTCAAAGTTATTTTTCTAAAGTGTTAGAAATATACACAAAATATTATAAAGAAATATTTATAAGATAAATATTTTACTATATATTTATTACTCCCAAAGTAGTATTATTATAGTTTTTACTATCCTATATTAAACTTGCTAGCACAAGTTTAATCTTGGACTCCGGAGCAAGTTCGTGTGGATACGTTGGAGGCTTCATACGTTTGGCGCTACGTTCATCTCCTCAAAACCATCCCCGACCGTTCCTCCGTTCTCCGTTTTCACCGTTAAGGTAAATTTCTTACTATAGCTAGTAATTTACGTAAGTTGTTCTTGGGTGGAATCGAGTTTTGGACTATAAATTTTTGTTTTCCGCTGCGTTATCCAAGTCTCGTTTCCCAACACATACATGGGAACCATAATCGGTCTTAGTGCTAGTGGGATATTGTTGAATATAAGTGAGCCATAGAGGCCAACTTATGATTCCATATCTATATTATATCAAGAACAATAGGCCTTAAAGATTGTTTAAGTCGTCTCGTGTGATTCAAACATAGCTTTAGTCCATAGAGTAGGCACTCTAGTAATATAGATGAGAACTACGACGTTCTCATTATGAGGCTGTTACAAAGATAGAGGCTACGTCTAAAATATTCTTAGTCAAATATTATGACAATACGAACATCATAATATATATCAAGATTAATATGTATGAGATGAGATAGCTGCATCTCATAGGCTACAGATAAAGTGTTATCTGAATCTATACGTAGGCAAACATATTGGATGTATTGCTGGATTGACCCGCTATGAGAATAATAAATGGGTTTAAGTTAAAGTGTTAATATTATTCTCATGCGACCATTAGTATAACTATTCTTCGACTTGAAGTCACTACGTTCTTTGGTAAGTTGAGTTGCATACTTTGAAGCATGATTTATGACATCTGAAATATTGGTGGATGTATATTTATATTTTGGGTATGCAATGAAGCTTAAGCAAAGATGTGAATGACGTAGATATAATTTATCCCTTCTTTAATGAAGTTCAATATCTTAGCGCTCACTGATTGATGTGACTTCGGAAGTGCATGGCCATGCCCAAATAAATATGTTATTTGAATCCCACAAGTCAATCAAAGAATCAGTAGACCATCGATTTCACTCTAACAAGGTGACACACCCCATACCTTGTGTTAAATCAAGATATTAGTGATAAAGGGATAAGGATTATACAAATAAGATGTGTCGTTGAAGGAATCGTTCCAAGAACTTTATATCTATAATTTGGGGGTGATAATGTGTTGCTAGATATCGCTTATTACTTGTAGTATTTAATCAATACTATGAGCAATTTTATAGATACCTAGAATAGGGTCACACACATAGAACATATGAAAGTGTAGAATATTTAAGTGGAGTAAAGTAGTATTTTATATATTTTTGTGTGACAATACGATTAGATACACAGACATATATATAAATAAATATTTATATTTTGACATTTTAATTATGGGATAATTAAGTTTGTCAAATATAATTATATATATATATATATATATATATATATATATATATATATATAAGGATATATACATACATACATACATACATACATACATACATACATACATACATACATATATATATATATATATATATATATATATATATATATATATATATATATATGTATATGTATATGTATATGTATATGTGTTCTAGAGAGAAGCCAGAGCAGGCGGAGCATAATTCCTAGATGGGGACGGCAGTCTGATAACAATTGCGCAGGACACCGGTTTTCTAGCTCCGGTGAATATCCAATCCCTTGGCGCTGCTCCAATTGCACAGGACTCAGGGTTTCTTCACAGTCTCGTGGAAGAGAAGGAATTTTTACCAACTCCAGGGAAAACATCCACCAATTGAATAAGCGGAGAAAATGGCCATTCAAATCTCCAAATTCGAGAAACTTGAAGAACTCCTACGTCCTCACCAGCACTCGCTTGCTCCAAGAAGGTGGAAGCCCCGCCATAAATCTTCTAAGCCGCAACTCCACCTTCTCCTTCAAAATTCGATCAAAGGTATTTGAGCTATTTTACTCCCTTTACAATAAAAACATTTGCATCAATGAGTGTGGGTACAAAAGATTCCAGATTTGGTTTGATTTGGAAACAATACGTTGGTTGTTGGAATCTATTTCTAGAATTACAGTTAATAGAGCCTGGGCTGTCTTCTCTTTTGGGAAGTCTCGTACAATTGAAGTCTCTGCTAGAACAAATAGAAGGGGTGATTTTATTAAAACTCAAGAGAAAAGAAGAGAAGGAAAGTGTTAGAATAAGTGCCCTTCACTAGAGGGGGGGTGAATAGTGAGGCACGAGAATGTTTATAAATTTTCGCGGAATAAAAATCGCAGGGATAAAGTAAAGAGCGGAATAAAAATGGAGTAAAGGGAGCACACCAAGATTTACCCTGGTTCACCACAACTTGTGGCTAATCCAGCCTCCCGAGAGACTCTCTCGAGCTACACTACTTCCGTTAAGCTTACGGGTGCTTAACAAACCGTTACAACCTGAGAACTCGAGTCCCACGAGCCTCAATACACTTGCTCGGAGATACCGCACTCCAAGACTTCAACCCGAAGGAAAATACCTTTCCTTCGTACAACCAAGGGAAACAAGCTTCCCTAAACGTGTTTACAACACTAA